AAGCAGCTGCCCTGCTGCAATGTGAACACAGGAGGTTGCTCACCCAGTACAGTATAAAAAAATATTTTTTTCTTACATTTGATGTGATTTTAAAGGCAACCTTTAATTACCTAAGGCAAACTGTTTCTTTACCCACTTTTTCACCCAGTACAGGCACTATTCAGGGAACACTTCGCATTTTCTAAAATTATGCAAAGCTTTCTGTGATTGGATGGTTTGGAGAGGCAAGGTGGTGTCATAATCTCCACCTCATCCAACCAGAGAACACTTTGCATTCATTGAGAATATGGAAATAGTTCTCTAAATGGCGCCTGTGCAGAGCGCGCAACATCCTGTGTTCAGTGAGCAACGGTGTAGCTGCTTGACACAGTACCCAGTAGCTAGTGGAAATCACTGTAGTAGTTGTGCTTGCCAGATTCCAGGGGGATTCCTCAGGTATGGCACATTCATACTTCTATTACTCCAAGCTGGACCAATGTAACTAGATGTAAAAATTGCCACACCTGGAATTCATCTTTAAAGACAAATTTGTTGCAGAATTGTTTCAAAGATATGACACAAACAACAGTTTACGCCAATATAGAAGAGATCTTGTTTACTTCCACTATCCTTATCATCTGTATGGCGGTATTCCTTTGTGAATTATATCAACGTTCCCCACGCTGGAAACACCTGTCGAGCTCTATCTGCAGACACTCATGAATATATGAAATAACTGTTATCTCAGGTTTGTAGGTACATTAGACATCACAAAAAAAGACTGGCACTTTGTGTTGTATTTACATGCATTTTATATGGAGCTCCATTCATGGAAAAAGTGTTTTCAGGAAACTGCACCAAAAGTACAGCAAGCAGAATTCTTTTAACATAGCACCACACAAAAATGTATAGTATGAACTTTCCCTGTTACAACAATGGTACATGCTTTAGGTGCAGTTAAAACTGTATTGAATGCATCGCAGAGTGCTGCCAGTCTCCTCTGAACATGGTTACAAGCTGGAAAGGAAAAAGATGACCACATCAGTGTGCTGCTCCCCATTGTCCAGTCAACAGGCTGGGGGTGGGCTGGTGAACAAGCTGTATTCTGAATTTCATGGGAGAAAAGTAAGGCCACTTTTGAGAACCAGCTTTAACTTCTAGTTGGGACATAAGACTTGCCTACAAGATTTACACATATTTCGCAGGGAAGGCCATTCATGTACATGCATTTCAACTGAGTATGTAGCTTTTCAGCTGGTGTTAGGCTCCTTTTACATAGGAGGCCCGATCAGGTCTGCCTTAGTATGTCTATGCACAGAGTTAATGTCTTATATTTGCTAGCTTTTGAATTTGCTCACCTGCCTGGAGTTTTCATTGCCCCCAAATGTGCAGCTTTTTAAGCTTTCAGTTCCCTAAAAACTTTAACCACGTGAAGACCAGGGCTTCTGACACTTCTTGTTTACGAGTAAAAATCTGTGTTTTTTTGCTAGAAAATTACTTAGAATCCCCAAAATTTTATATATACACTATATTGCCAAACGTATTGGGATGCCTGCCTTTACACGCACATGATCTTTAATGGCAGCCCAGTCATAGTCCGTAGGGTTCAATATTGAGTTGGCCCACCCTTTGCAGCTATAACAGCTTCAACTCTTCTGGAAAGGCTGTCCACAAGGTTTAGGAGTGTGTCTATGGGAATGTTTTACCATTCTTCCAGAGTTGCATTTGTGAGATCAGGCACTGATGTTGGATGAGAAGGCTTGGCTCACAGTCTCTGCTCTAATTCATCCCAAAGGTGTTCTATCGGGTGGAGGTCAGGACTCCCAGACTTGGCCATCCATATCTTTATGGATCTTGCTTTGCGCTCTGGTGCAAAGTCATGTTGGAACAGGAAGGGGCCATCCCCAAACTGTTCCCACAAAGTTGAGATCATGAAATTGTCCAAAATGTCTTAGTATGCTGACGCCTTATGAGTTCTCTTCACTGGAACTAAGGGGCCAAGCCCAACCCCTGAAAAACAACCCCACACCGTAATCACCCCTCCACCAAACTTTACACTTGGGACAATGCAGTCAGGCAAGTACTGTTCTGGCAAGTGCCAAACACAGCCACATCCATCAGATTGCCAGACAGAGAAGTGTGATTTGTCACTCCAGAGAACACATCTCCACTGTTCTAGAGTCCAGTGGCGGCGTGCTTTACACCACTGTATCCAGCGCTTTCCATTGCACTTGGTGATGTAAGGCTTGGATGCTCGGCCATGGAAACCCATTCCATGAAGCTCTCTGCACACTATTGTTGTGCTAATCTGAAGGCCACACTAAGTTTGGAGGTCTTAAGCTATTGAGTCTGCGCACTGTGCGCTTCAGCATGCGTTGACCCCGCTTTGTCATTTTATGTGGCCTACCACTTTGTGGCTGAGTTGCTGTTGTTCCCAGTTTCTTCCACTTTGTTATAATACCACTAACAGTTGCCTGTGGAATATTTAGTAGCAAGAAAATTTCATAGATGGACTGCACAGGTGGCAACCCATTACGGTACCACGCTTGAATTCACTGAGCTCCTGAGAGTGACCCATTCTTTCACAAATGTTTGTAGAAGCAGTCTGCATGCCTAGGTGCTTGATTTTATTCACTGATGGCCATGGAGATGATTGGAACACCTGAATCCAATGATTTGGAGGGGTGTCCCAATACTTTTTGTGATATAATGTATATATCCGAGGCCCTAGAGAATAAAATGGTGGTTGTTGCAATTTTTTATGTTACACGGTATTTGTGCAGCAGTTTTTAATTTACACACTTTTTGGGAAAAAATACACTTTAATGAATTTTAATGCGGAAAAACAAAATATATATAACCCAATTTTTTGGTAAAATATTAAATATTATGCTACAACCAGTAAATAGATACCAAACATGTCATGCTTTAAAATTGCGCACGCTCGTGGAATGGCAACAAACTATGATACTTAAAAAAAATCTTCATAGGCGACATTTTAAAAATGTTTACAGGTTATCAGTTTAGAGTTACAAAGAGCTAGGATTATTGCTCTTGCTATAATGTTTGCCGTGATACCTTACATGCGTAGTACGAACACCGTTTTACATATGCGTTCACGTCCTACGTATGCATTCACCTTTGCATTCAAGCACGGGGGGCGCTCTTAAAAAAAAAAAATTTTTAAATTTTATTTTAAAACATTTTATTTTTACACTGTCCATTTTAATCTTATTAGATCACCTTTATTGCCGTTACAAGAAATTTAAACATCCTTTGTGAGGGCGATAAAGCAGGTCAGGTCCTCTCTCTGGTTCTAGAAGACCCCAAAATCAAGTTTTTTTTTTTTTCAACTGCAATGATGAGAACATTTTTAAAAAGCAGGATGGAAATTTTTTTTCAAACAAACAGTGTATGTGGCTTTTGTTCTGGTAAGTACATTCACTCCGAAATAAAACATAATTTTGAAGTCATTTCAAATGACATTCGTTAAGTCATCAAGTGTGAATTTTCGTACGAATGTTCGTGCAAATGTTTGTTTGAAAATTTACTAGTGTATGACCAGCTTTACCTTATAAGTGCATTATACTTTTATTCCAGTCTAATTATTCATCCAGTGTATTTTATTTTTTTAATAATGATTTGTGCCACAGCAGGTGTTTATTTCATAGGATGAGATGCAGATATGACTGCTTCAGAAACGTTGCTGACTATTTGACCTTATTGTTTGGTTGGCCATTATCTGAGAATCTTGTTGCACGTTCAGTTACACAGACTCTTGTTCTGTTCTGTGCTCACTGATTGATGTAGTCTGTGTCTTTAAAGGATAAAATAAGAAGTGGGGATGTGTGGGAAGTGTATGTTAACCCACTATGCTCCAAACTCACACTGGTGGGAAGAACGGGGAGATATGATGGAAGACGGTACAGTGCTATGGCGCTGCTTTAGGATGGCAATGACACAGCAAAGTGTTTCTAGCAGTTGTGGATAAGTGTGCTAAAAAAATGGTGACTGCCTCATAAGTTGTGTAATTCATCCTTTGCTCTATAAATGTACATCCTTCCTTTTGTGTCCCAGTATCAGATGGTATGACATAAATTTTGACCAACCAGCAGCTCTGTAACTGCTGTAGAATCTCAAGTCCCAGCATTGATCACATGGTTTACCCTGACATTTCTTATAGAAACTGAGCGGTGTTCAATCAGGAGACTCAACGAACATATAGATGCAATTTCTAATGGCAGAACTGTTTAGATATAAACTATTACTAATTCTATCTGGTTCTGAAACTGGTGGGCTGATAATATGCAAATCACATACTCTGATTAATCTCATTTGCTCACCATTTAAAGTGGAACTTCCCTCTCTCAATCGGCATTGACTATTTGTAATCCTTATGCTGCTAGCATTAGTAAATAGATAGGAAGGTATTTCATATTTACTTGTTTTAAGCTTTTTTTAAAATTTTTCTGTTACTTCCCAGTTTCCAGGCCTAGGCAAATGATGTCATAAATCCCAAGAGTCTTCTGGAGGGGATTAGGGGTTTTCCTTTTGCCTGTGCTAAGGGCAGATGGATTCCATGAAGTATATGCTACATGAATCATCTGCCCTTTCTCAGGACTGCCACGACCAGAAATGCTAAAGGGGGTGTTTTTCAAAACAATTTCTGAGCAAAATATAGCATGAAGACATGGATTGATGAATGGATGGGCGAGTTTTCTCTGGATATGAAAAATGAATTAAATTACATTTCTGTTTTGTGGTGCTAAGATGCAGTGTAGTCCTGCTTTAAGTGTCTGGGGCTTTAAATAATTTTCTAGTAAAAAAAAAAATGCATATTTTATCGTGCTTGTGAAAAATTTAAACAAATTGCCATGGTTTGTTCCTTTCTTTTCTTATTAGAAAAAGGGTATGGGTATGGATTTTATTTAATTAATGAGCACCTGAATAGACTTCTGTTATAGTTGTAACACAGTTTATTGTTTCAAGATGTCTGATTCTTATCCAACATATCATTTCAGGGCTTTGTACACATATGAAGGAAACAGCAATGACATCAGACTTGCAGGGACTGGAGGTGTGTGGTTTTTATTTTACCTTAATCTCCATACTGACTCACAATGCTGCTCTAGTTAGAGGTCTAACCACGTCCGTCCTATATGTGTATAGGCTGCAGTCAGCTACGTTTCATATTGCTTTTACTACATACATCATGTTGACCCCATTGTCTTCCATGTTCTCTCTTGTTCCTCATATCTGTCATTTTCCCCTTCATGTTCCCTCCAATATTCCACAGATGGTGGTCTGGAAGAACTGGTGGATGAGCTGAGCAGTGGGAAAGTCATGTATGCTTTCTGTAGAGTGCAGGACCCCAACTCAGGTCTCCCTAAATATGCCCTCATTAACTGGGTGAGTCAAGAAACAACATCACAAACGTGATCATTCATTTATTTTATCCTGGTCCTTATCTTATTTCTGTTCTATCTTTTAGACAGGGGAGGGTGTGAACGATGCCAGGAAAGGAGTGTGTGCCAATCACGTCAGCACTATGGCAAACTTCTTAAAGGTACAAGATTATTTATTGCCCATTAATTGCGCATTAACCGCTTGCCCTCCAGAGGATTTACCCCCATTCCTGACCAGGCCATTTTTTGCGATACGGCACTGTGTTACTTTAACTGGCAATTGTCATGCAACGCTGCACCCAAGTGAAATTTGTCCTTTTTTCCTACAAATAGAGCTTTCTTTCAGTGGTATTTGATCGCCTCTGCGGTTTTTTTTATTTTTTGCACAAGAAAAGACCAACAATTTTGAAAAAAAAAAAAAAACATTTTTGACTTTTTGCTATAAAACATATCCAGTAAAAAAAAATGTAAAAATTAAATTTCATCATAAATTTAGGCCAAATTGTATTCTGCTACATGTCTTTGCTAAAGAAAAAATCCCAGTACATGTAAGTTAATTGGTTTACGTGAAAGCTATAGTTTTTACAAATGGCGGTATATACACTGGAATATTTTTTTTTTCTAATTCTAGTAATATCAGCGACTTCTAGCAGGACTGCGGCGGGCATTCTGACACTAGCTGCCAGCTCCCCAGTGACACTGATACAGTGATCAGTGCTGAAAAAAAAAAAAGCACTGACACTGTACTAATGACACCGGGCAAAAAGGGATTATCAAAGAGTTAACTGTGTGCTGTTTTACTGTGTGTGCAAAACACAACAGCATGCTGGGGCTGACGGGAGAGAATTGTATTTTACATACAGACCTCTCCCCTGTCAGTATTCTTCGGCAATCGCCGGGTGCAGGCTGGGAATCTCCGTCCGGGACCCGGTGATTGAAAGCCATAACCGCCAATGGCGGCGTGGGTAGGGCGGCTCACGCCCCCTACCCGGAAATGCAACAACACACACACACACACACACGAGTAGGGCTGCGGGGAAGCGGTTAATGGAACATGTTATCTAGATTATGAAACTATATTTAGCTGAAGATGTACATAGTATTCCACATTATCTGCATTTACTTCTTCCTATGCTGCTGCTCTTTATTTGTTCCACATTGCCTTCTTCATCCCATTGTTCTTTTATTTCTGCTTTCACAGAACACAATCTCACATCAGGGGCCATATATTTGCTAGTCAGGTTCAAATGGAGGTATAAGAAGTAAATACTTTGGCAACTTTCAGACATTTTATTCTTTTATATACAGGCAAAGTGGTTACTGGAAAGTGAGACTTGTTATATTGTGACACTTATGCTACTTAATAGATCTAAAATTGGCTACTCCCATAAATGCTGTAAAAGTATGCAGAAGTTTTAATGAACTTGCATATTCAAATAATTTTAAAAATAAAGAATAAAAATGTGATGAGTTTGCTTTACTACTTTTTCTGCTGTGCGAGCAATGGCTAGAGTAAGGTTTAAAATGTCTCTACAGCCAAAACCTTTCTTAGTTTTGGATAGAGAGAGGAATGATTAAAACTCTTATGAGATGTTTTTTTTTTTTTTTTCTCCATCTGGACTGTGTCCAATTGACAATGATATCCCCGTAGACACAAAAGGAAGTAGAGGGGATCCCAACTTGAACAAGGGAGCAACTTTTCCCTCTACGTCTGCTCGTATACCTTGGGGTTCAGTCTTTGCTGCTCTGGTGTTATTCACACTTGTCCTTTCGGCTCACTTAGAATGATCTTTGTAGCTAGAGCATACATATACTCCATATGCATGGAGCATACTCCAGCCTGACCCAGTGGGTGAACAGTGGACCCTACCAGTTCAACCCAACCTCCTGTTGCAAGGTTTAATTTTCCATCCTTTACGATCACTAACTATAACGGCATGTTTGTTGAAGTTGGTCTTTTTCCCTGGCCTTCTGAAGGATAGGAAGATGGTTTTGCGGAAGATTTATCATCAGACCTATTTGCCTGATGTTAGGCTTAGAGATTTCAACCTCACAAGTATGTCATGGGCCACATTCTGGCATCTCCTAATCAGGAACTAACTTGGGTTTGGTTTTTTGAACACTCAAGGGTCAAGTTTTGACCTAGGTGGTTCTCTTCCAGAGACCCATTGCTTTGCATTCATTGGTGCGTGCCTATGTACAAGGAATCACGCATACTGTTCCATCAATCAGGACTTTGTTGATTCTTTGGGACCTTCGCTTGGTACTTTATGTATTGCAGGCAGCTTTTTGAACCTATCTTGGACATTCCTCTAGTCCTTCCGACATAAAAATGTCTGGCTGCCATTACCTAAGCTCATAGAGTTTCAGAATTTGCTGCTCTTGCCTGTTAGGTTTCGTTCACACTAGCTTTGAAAGCAGGCGTTTGAAGGGCATTTTTAACGCTCCTCAAAAACCTATGGAAATGATACTATGGGCACACACAGTGCTGTTCACATTAGCACAACATTGAAGCCTCTTGTCAAGTCAGGAGGAGTTGAAGCCTTCAACAACTCCCATTCAAGTCTATGGTGACGCTCCTCAAACGCCTGGCAGACGTTTAAAAGGCGTTAATACCATTAGAGTTTATTATAGGCGTTTGTAGTGCGGTTTTAACGCTTGTAAAATGCCTATAAACTCCGTTTGAACGCATGATGTAGGTTCACAGCATTATATTCCAAATGCAAATACCACATTTAGAATCAACTCCACACCCTTTACTTGCTTAATTGATGAAGAAATAACGAAGGAGTAGCCCACACCTGGCCATGAAACCACTTTTGATACAATTGTCCAATTACTTTTGGTCCCTTGAAAAAGGGGGGGGGGTGGCTACTCTTAATAGCTGTAATTCCTAAACCCTTCCTCCAATTTGGATGTACATACCCTCAAATTAAACCTGAGAGTGTGCACTTTCAGCCCATACCCATTATATAACTATAGCTTGTATATGTTTTGGTAAATACCTGACAAAAACTAAAATTGTGCCTGTGTCCAAATAGATATGGACCTAACTGTATAAAGGATTGGCTGTGTTGCTTAGAGCCACCTAATGGTAACCAGAGCAGCCAGCCCCATGTAAACGCAGAATGGTGAAATGTGTGACCTACTCAGGAACTGTTGATTTAGACACACATAAGGATTGTGTTAGAGTTGGTGCAGTGCGAGACATCTCAAATAAAGAATTCCAATGAATGTCAGATCATAGTCATCCTTGAGGAATTGATTAGTCATCATTTTGTCTGTGTATGTGTGGCTGATTTCTGCATATTGTCAGCCACGCACATTGTATTAACCAGTTCAGCTCTCGCACCTCTATACCTTTATAACTAGAACATTTTTTTATATTTCTACTATGAGCGTATTTATTCAGCATTCATTTTTATAATTCCTTAGGATAGAAAATAATATATATCTACAGTTTTTTTTAGGACAAATAGGGCTTTCTTCCGGTGATATTGTCTTTCAAAAGACAATAGCAAAACTAAAAAAATACACGCACTTTTTCATTTACCTTGATTAGTGTTGCTTTAAAATTTGTTGAAGGGGATACATCCAAGAGGCAGTAAAAATGCAATACCTTTTGATACAAAGTAGTAAAGGGAAGGACAACAGTCACTCGAAAAGTCCACTTGTCTGATTAGGAGGCTCACGTGCAACTGGGGCTGCCCTCCAATGGGCACCCAGGAATGTCACTCTGAGCCTTTACTAACACACCTGCATTGCTGTGCACCATAAAGCTTGGTAATACACTACTACAGTAGATATAAAAAGTCTACACACCCCTGTTAAACTATCAGGTTTCTGTGATGTAAAGAAATAAGACCAATAATTTCAGAACTTTCTGCCTTTAATGTGACCTATAAACTGTACAACTCAATTGAAAAAACAAACTGAAATCTTTTGGGGGGGGGGGGGGGGGAGTAAACATAAAAAACTAAAATAATGTGGTTGCATAAGTCTGCACACCCTCTTATAACTGGGGATGTAGCTGTGTTCAGAATTAAGCAATCATATTCAAAATCATGTTAAATAGGAGTCAGTACACACCTGCCATCATTTAAAGTGCCTCTGATTAACCCCTAATAAAGTTCAGCTTTTCTAGTAGGTCTTTCCTGACATTTTCTTAGTCGCATCCTACAGCAAAAGCGATGGTCCGCAGAGAGCTTTCAAAGCATCAGAGGGATCTCATTATTAAAAGGCATCAGTCAGGAGAAGGGAACAAAAGAATTTCCAAGGCATTGGATATACCATGGAACACAGTGAAGAGTGTCATGCTCAAGTGCTGAAAATATGGCGTAACAGTGACATTACCAAGAACTGGACGTCCCTCCAAAATTGATGAAAAGACGAAAAGAAAACTGGTCTGGGAGGCTGCCAGGATGCCTACAGCAACATTAAAGGAGCTGCAGGAATATCTGGCAAGTACTGGCTGTGTGGTACATGTGACAACAATCTCCCATATTCTTCATATGTCTGGGCTATGGGGTTGAGTGGCAAGACGGAAGCCTTTTTTTATGAAGAAAAACATCCAAACCCAGCTAAGTTTTGCAAAAACACATCTGAAACCTCCCAAAAGCATGTGAGAAAATGTGTTATGGTCTCATGAAACCAAAGTTGAACCTTTTGGCCATAATTCCAAAAGATATGTTTGGCGCAAAAACAAAACTGCACATTACCAAAAGAACACCATACCCACAGTGAAGCATGGTGGTGGCAGCATCAATCTTTGAGGCTGTTTTTTTTTCTGCAGCAACTGGGGCCTTAATCAAGATAGAGGGAATTATGAACAGTTCCAAATACCAGTCAATATTGGCACAAAACCTTCAGGCTTCTGCTAGAAAGCTGAACATGAAGAGGAACTTTATCTTTGAGCATGAGAACGACCCAAAGCATACATCCAAATCAACAAAGGAATGACTTCACCAGAAGAAGATTAAAGGTTTGGAATGGCCCAGCCAGAGCCCAGATCTGAATCTAATCAAAAATCTGTGGGGTGATCTAAAGAGGGCTGTGCAGAGGAGATGCCCTCGCAATCTGACAGATTTGGAATGTTTTTGCAAGGAAGAGTGGGCAAATATTGCCAAGTCAAGATGTGCCATGCTGACAGACTCATACCGAAAAAGACTGAGTGCTCTAATAAAATGAAAAGGTGCTTCAACAAAGTATTAGTTTAAGGGTGTGCACACTTATGCAACCATAATTTTTCAATTTTTTTTATTTTTACTTCCCTCCACCTAAACGATTTCAGTTTGTTGTTCAACTGAGTTGTACAGTTTATAGGTTACATTAAATGTGGAAAACGTTCTGAAATGATATATCTTTGTCTCATTTTGTTACATCACAGAAACCTGACATTTTAACAGGGGTGTGTAGACTTTTTATATCCACTGTATATGTTTTGCTGTTCAGTGTTACAAAGTTAGTGAGCTGACCTTTTTTGGTGCATTAGGCAGCCTTTTCAAATGATTTAACACATGGCAAAATGCGCAGCTGTGTGCATTAATGCATTACCGGTGTAAACCCAGCCTTAACAGTACTTCTAGAGCAGAGTTAGTTTATTCAGTATTCACTTTCCATTGGCCCCATTTTTAGGTCAGATAGTTAATTTGTACATCATTGTATATTTGGGTATGCTGATCCCATGGCAGTGGTCACTATATGTGGACAACCATTAACTAGTTGCCGACCGCAGATAGCCGAATGACGGCTGCACTGCGGCCGGCCAGTTCTGGGTGGGACGTCATATGACGGCCTCCCAGAACGCGCTCTCCTGCGCGCCCCAGGGGGCGCGCACCCCCAGCGATCTTCGTGATCGCTGTGTCCTACGGACACAGCTGATCACGTGATGTGGTAAAAGGCCGATCACAGCGGCCTTTTACCACGTGATCAGCGGTGTCCAATGACACGCTGATCAGAGGGAAATGCAAGTGCCGGTTCTCGGCTGCACTTTCCTCACGCTGTCTGATCGTGAGGAAAGTACTGCCGAGAACCGGCAGTTGTCAGAGCGGGGATCGGCACCGATCATCAGGGCACTGATGATTGGTGCCCAGCAGTGCCACCCGCAAGTTCTGCCCACCTGTGCCCAGCAGTGTGCCCACTAGCTCCGCCCACCTGTGCCCAGCAGATCACCCACCTGTGCCCAGCAGTGCACCCACCTGTGCCACTCTGCAGTGTCACACACCTGTGCCCAGAAGTGCCACCCACCAGTGCCACCCACCAGTGCTGTCCACCAGTGCCATCCGCCAGTGCAGCCCAGCAGTGCCGCCAGTCAGTGCCCAGCAGTGATGCCAGTCAGTGCCGTCTATCAGTACCCATCATCAGTGTCACCTATCAGTGCCGCCTATCAGTGCTGCATATTAGTGCCGCCTATCCGTGCCACCTCATTAGTGCTGTCTATCAGTGCCGCCTATCCGTGCCACCTCATTAGTACTGCCTATCAGTGGCCTTTAGTGCTGCCTATCAGTGCCGCCTATCAGTGCCCATCAGTGCTGCCTCATCAACGTACATCAGTGAAGGAGAAAAAATACCTGTTTGAAAAGTTTTATAATAGAAACAAAGAAACGTTTTGTTTTTTTTTTTCAAATTTTTTGCACTTTTTTTATTTATAGCACAAAAAGTAAAGCGCCCAGCGGCGATTAAATACCACCAACAGAAAGCTCTATTTGTGAGAAAAAAATTATCAAAATTTCATATGGGTACAATGTTGCATGACCGCGCAATTGTCAATCAAAGTGCGGCAGCGCTGAAAGCTGAAAATTGGCCTGGTAAATAAGGGGGTATAAGTGCCTGGTAGGCAAGTGGTTAAAGAGGCCATCTAAGACTGGTGCTGTTCATTGAATTCTACAAGAAGTGCTACTGCTGTGTGGAACTTCTGTTGCAGTTTTTCTGAGCATGTGTGCAAAGCATCTGATGTTCTTTTGCAATCCTGTGTATTAACATGGCAAAACCGATAAGGGCAGGCTAGTTACATAGTTGGTCTAAAAAAAAAAAAGATATCCTATACCCACAGTTTATCCAGAGGAAGGCAAAAAACCCAGCAAAGCATGATCTAGTTTGCTCCTTCTGGGAAACCAATTCCTTCCTGATCCCCCAAGAGGCAATAGGATATTCCCTGGATCAACTTTACCTATAAATGTTAGTATCCAGTTATATTCTGTGTATCCAAGAAAGAATCCAGGCCTTTTTTTAACCACTTCCAGTCCGGACACTTTTACCCCCTTCCTGTCCAGTCCAATTTTCAGCTTTCAGCGCTATCACACTTTGAATGACAGTTGCGCGGTCATGCAACACTGTACCCATAGGAATTTTTTAGCATTTGTTTTAGACAGATAAAGCTTTATTTTGGTGGTATTTATTCACCACTGGGATTTTTATTTTTTTTTTGCTATGTAAATGAAAATGTCCAAAGATTTTGAAAAAAAGTGTTTTTCTTATAAAATTTTGCAAATAAATAGTATTTCATCATAAATCTTGGCTAAAATTTAATTTTTTTTTTATATTTGTTTTTTTAATTTTTTTTACATACTGTCACCCTAGCAGTACAGTGTCACCATGGTGACACTGTACTACTTGTGGGGGGTGATGAAGATTTTTTTTTTTCTTTTTTTTTTTTTTACACTGATTGCTTTTACACCCATAAAGGCTGTAAAAGCAATCATTTCTCCTTCTCTCTAGCTGAGAACTACTGTGTGAGCTGTGATTGGTCACAGCTTGTCACATGGTACAAGGCTGTTGTGAATAGCCTTGTACCATGTGACCTCTGTGATCATTCACAGTTTTCACACATAGTAAGCAATGATGTCAGAAGTGACGTCTTGCTTACTACTCTGCATGTGATCACTGATTGGCCAATCAGTGATCACATGATTGGGACCTCGCACAGAGGTCCCTTCCGACGATCGGTGTTCAGCTGTGTCCGGAGGAGCTCGCACAAGCAGGGGGCAGGGAGGCCGTTTATAAACGGCCACCGTCCCTGCACTGCCACCGTCCGGACGTTTATATACATGGGCCGGACGGGAGGTGGTTAAAGCAATCCACTGAGCTGGCCAGAACCAACTCTTGAGGGAGTCTATTCTACATTTTCTCAGCTGAAGAAACCTTTCCGTGGTTGGAGATTAAATCTCTTTTCCTCCAGACGTAAAGAGTGCCCCCTTGTCCTCTGTGATGACCTCAGGGTGAGTAGCTCTACCCCGAGTTCACTATATGAACCACTGATGTATTTCTACATGCTGATTATATCCCCCTTATTCTGTTTTGAGAAGAGGAGATTAAATTCAGTTCCTCTAATCTTTCCTCATAGCTGAGCTCCTCCATGCCTCTTATCAGGTTGGTTGCCCTTCTCTGTACTTTCTCCAGTTCCCCAATGTTCTTTTTGTGAATTGGTGCCCAAAACTGAACTGCATATTCCAGTTTAGTTTATATAGTGTATTAGAAGACTACCTCTAAAGCAGTGTCTTTACACTTGTCCAAATTACCATATGCCAGAGACTGGGAAGAAGTGAAAGCAGCTGGGTACTCTGCAGCACCTAGTGATAATTAACTGTCCTTCCAGAATGACAGAGAATTTATGAAGCCAAGTTGTTCTTTTTCTTGACTGAATGTTTGCACTATTGGAGCAGCTATATTTGCTATTGAGAATCAGTTTTTTCTAATTATCTGCATGTGCTGTAGTCATTTTTGGTGTCTCCTAATGTTTAGATCTTTTTTTTTTCCCACATTTGCTCTTTCAATTTCTCTGAGCTCAGCCCTTCGCTGCCTCCCCTTTGATTGTCCTCAGAGATTCACATTTCCTTCCACACAAGCTGTGGATGTTCTAGGAACTGGATTCTTTCATCTTCCTCAACCACAGCTCCTCCTCGTTGAGTCATCTGAGAAACAACTTCACATGATTTATATTTCTACCTGTAAAATATATGCTGGATTTTTCATTTTCATGTATTTAAAGCAGAATGTTCAAGAACTGACCACCTTCATAATCCTAGTGCTGGATCATAGTTATATAGTTAGTCTGGTTGAAAAAAAAGAGATAAGTCCATCTAGTTTACCCGATAAAAAGGGAAAAAAAATTATACAATCCTAAATCCACAGTTGATCCATAGGAATGCGAAGAGCTGGCATATTCTTAACAGATTAATAATCCACAACCTGCAGCTCAGTATCCATGCTCTTCAGAACTTTTAGAATTTCATGTATATTGAGTCATAGAAACCTTTTGGTCACTGAATGAAGAAGCTATTGCCTTTTGTGAATGAATTTTCAAAGGAGCATCGTTATTAAAGTGCGGTCTGTAGATTTTCACCTACTTTCATGTCTTTGATTTCGTTCTTTACATTGCTACGTTCTTTTGGGCCTTCACATTGGTCCCAGTTCTGCTGACTGCTATGAGTAATCTACAAATTGGCCATTGGAGAGGACACAAAGTTGCTGGCCATTGTAGTTTGCAGACTTTCTTAGGCGAAATGACAGGGCATGTATGGTCAGAAGATTAAAGTGGTTTTAAAGCCAGAAAGTTTTTTACCCTAATGCATTCAATGCAATAAGGTAAAAAACCACCTGGGTGCAGCTTCCCACCCCCAGCCCCATATACTTACATGAGCCTCATCTCGATCCAGTGATGTGCATGAGAGCCGCGGCTCTCCTAGGTCTCTGTCTCCTCATTGACTCACACAGCTGCTGTCCATCACAGCCAGTGTGTCAATGAGGAGAGAGTGGGGGTAGGGACGAGCTGCGCTCTGTGTAAATGGACAATGTCCAAGAGGCTTTGCTATTGGGGGCACTCGGTGGGGGATCCAAAAAGAAGCGGATCGAGCTGCTCTGTGCAAAACCATTGCTCATAGCAGGTAAGTATAACATTTTTGTTGTTAAAAAAAAAAAAAAAAAAAAAAAAAAAGATAGGCGGTATAGAAGGTACATTCTACTTATATTTAAAGATACTGCATTTATTTTATTTTATAAAAAATGTTAGTTTAGTGTCACTTTAGTCCTGTCTTTCGGTCATGTTTTCCAGCCATGTTCAGCTAGGTATGTTCACATAAAATTTTCATTATTGTGCTTGCTGTCTTTTTTACTCTCTACATTTTCATTGTTTTGTTTTTGTTCTTTCCTCAGGGAGCTCATGTCACAATCAATGCCCGTGCTGATGAGGACGTAGAACCAGAAACTATTATAGAGAAGGTGGCCAAAGCCTCTGGAGCCAACTATAACTTCCATAAAGAGAGTAGTAGAGGCGGTGATGTTCCTCAGGGCCCCGTAGTAAGTTTTGGTATTGAGAGAGACATTTGATAAACAAAATATTGTATATGTACAAAAACTGGATTCTAATCCATTTGTAATCCATGGACTGGTGAGACAGTTTCTTTCAGCACAGTACTGGTAGCTTTTGGAAGTCTGGGATTTTAGATATTATTTTTCTAATAGGTTTACTTTAACCACTTCCCACCCAGCCACTGCAGATAAACTGCCAGGTGGGTCATGCACCAATCTGGGAGAATGTGTTCATACGTCCTCCCACTCCTGGGGCTCACGTGCAGCCTTGGGGCCATGCAGCAGAGTGATCCTAAGATGACTGTGTCCCTCAGACACAGCCCATTACATATTGGGAGATCTGTTCTCTCATTGGCTCTCCTGATCATGTGATTGTTGTGTCCAATCACAGCCATCACACAATGTAAACACAAACAATTGTCAATGTATCCGCTCTCCTCCTCACAGAAAGAGCTCAGTGAGACGGAGGAGAGCCAATCCATGCAGCCTGTCAAGGATCTGTGTGTAACTGTTAATTGTCAACATCTGTCAGTGTACCAGTCCAAAAAACATCTGTCTCATTGTACCTATGTTCCATCATCATCTGTCACAGTGCACATCAACATCTGCAATAGTGTCCAATTGCAACATCAACATCTGTTGGTGTCCCCTGTGGACCCTCAACATCTGTCAGTGCCCCAGTGCACATCTGCAGTGGTGCTCCAGTGGACCAACATCTGTCAGTGTCCCAATGCAGAACATCTGTCAGTATCCCAAGTGCAGATCAGCATCTGTAGGTGTCCCATTGGACCATGAACATCTGTTACAGTGTACCAGTGCACTTGAACATCAGTGACAGTGTCACAGTGGACAGTCAACATCTGTTGGTCCCAGTCCCAGTGTGTGCCAACGACATCTGCAATAATGTCCCAGTGCACCAGCGGTGTAGTACACCCAGATGATAGGCCAGGTTCTAGTAGTAGTACTAGTCATATTTGCCACAAAAAATTAGGGTCTTTGCCACATGTGGTATTGCCATACTTGAGAAAGGCCATCAGTACGTCAGGATTGATCAATTTTCATATATACAGGGAGTATAGAAAATAATTACCCCCTCCTTTAAAATAATTACATTTTGTTGTTTTTCAGCCTGAAATGAAGACGCACACGCAGTTTTTGTTTTATCCAGCTGTATTTACTTAGTGCAACTTATAACATCCAAGTGAAAGATGTAGCACCAACATGTCAGAAAAAAATGTTAAAGATTAAAAAACAGAATCACTGGGTTGGAAAAAGGATACCCCCTCCTAAAAATGGCTTGTAAACGCAATCAGGTGTAGCTAATCACCTTCTCAATGGCGCACAAAGCCATTTGAGTTTCAACTGTAATCAGCTGTGGTCATTTTGATTAGCTCAGCATGAAAAGAGCTTTCCTGGAGCATTTCAGTCCCTGGTAGTGCAGTTGAAGCAAACAATCAACTATGGGTGGCAAGGCACTGTCAAAAGATCTCCATGATAAAGTTGTGGACAGGCACAAGTCCGGAGATGGATAAAAAAATTCAAAGGCTTTATCAATGCCTAGAAGCACTGTGAAGTCTATTATTAAGAAGTGGGATGTGTTTGGTACAACACAGACCCTTCCTGGATCAGGACCTTGCTCCAAACTGGATGAAAGAGCTAAGGGGAAACCTGTCAGGGGGACTACCAAGAGGCCTACAGCAATTCTGAAGCCGTTGCAGGAATTTATGACAAAGTGGTCATTGCGTGCATGTGACAATATAACAAATTCTCCACAAATGTGGCTTGTATGGGAAGGTTGCAAGAAAAATGCCACTCCTCAAGAAAGGCCACATGCTGCCATGACTGAGCTTTGCCAAAACACCTTGAAGATTCTGAGGCCACATGGAAAAAGGTGTTATTGTCAGATGAGACTAAAATTTGAATTATTTGGCCTCAACACTAAATGATATGTCTGGTGGAAGTCCAATACAACTCACCATCCAAATAACACCATTCCTACAGTAAAGCATGGAGATGGTACTATCCTGTTATACGATTGTTTCTCTGCAGCAGGGACTAGAACACTTGTCAGGATAGAAGGAAAAATGGATTTGGCAAAATACCATCAAATTCTTGAGGAAAATCTACTGCCCTCTTCCTGAAAGTTGTAAATGGGAAGAAGGAGAAAAAGGAAAATTGTCCTTGCATGGCCTAGTCAGAGCCCAGACTTCAACACCATTGAATATCTGTGAAGTGACTTGAAGACTGACTGCAGTCCACAAACAGTCACCATCAAATTGAACTGAACTCAAACAGTTCTGCAAAGAAGAGTGGGCAAACATTGCAAAAGTCTAGATGTGCAAAGTTAGTAGAGACATCCCAACAGACTAAAAGCTGAAATTAAAGCAAAAGGTGGTTCAACAAAATACTGACACATACTTTCCAACTCGGTGATTCTCTTTTTGAATTTTTTTTTTTTTTACATGTTGGTGTTATATCTTTCACTTGGATGCTATAAGTTGTACTGAGCAGAAGCTGGATAAAACAAAAGCTGTGTCTGTCTTCATTTCAGGCTGCAAAGCAACAAAAAAAATTATGTTAAAAGGGGGTGATTTGTTTCAATACCCACTGTATGTACCATAGGCCTAAATTTTAAAAATGCTCCTTTTTTGGTTTATATAGCAAAAAGTACAACTCTAGCTCTATTTGTCTCAAAAAAATGATACAAATTTCATTTGGGTTCAGTGTTGCATGACTGAGTAATTGTCATTCAAAGTAAGAGCAATGAAAGCTGAAAATTGCCTGGGCAGGAAGGGTGTTAAGTGTCTGGTATTGAGGTGGTTAAGCATAAGTATTGGTAAATTAGGTTGTTAGGTTGACATGTACCTATAGCTGCAACTTTTTTTTAATTTGGATAAAGCGTTGAAGTGTTTAAGATGTCTGTCAGGTTTTCATTTACATTTTGTTGCCCCAATTTTTTTTGGTTTGAATTTTCTGTCTGCATGTTCTACTGCTCACAGAGATGAGATTGTGTCTCAGTCAAGCCAAAAACATCTGTTGGATACTCAGTATGAGTGCTACCCCCAAACAGGTCAACCTATTGTTTCTAAATTCTCCAAATAGTGTGTATCGGTGTGTGTATGTAAGTCATATAAATCTTTCAGATTGTTTTATACCAAGTACAAGAACTTCCTCTGTGTGGACAGTTTACAAGTTATCATTGAGCCAGGAAATTCTAGTAAAAACAAGAAGTGGTGCAAATTTAGCTAAATCCTTGGTGTTTTTCTCTTTTCACAGGGTTCTGTTTACCAGAAAACAAATGCAATGTCTGAAATTAAACGTGTAGGAAAAGAAAACTTTTGGGCTAAGGCCGAGGTGAGCTTATTGTCTTAACAACAGCGATGTCATTGTGACAGTCCAGTGTATAGAGCGTAGAACTGGACCACCATCAATAGTAAGGTTTTTATAGTGAAATATGTGCAGTGAGTTTTATTTTTATAAAATGTATACAAATTTTTACAAATATTTCACATATACACATTCCATTTACCCCAGTATTACCCAGGCAGTGAGAGTTTGTTCAAAGCTCACACCACTGCAAGATTTTTCTGCCCTACAGAGTGGATGTTCTGATAAGTCTTATGCATGGCAAAAATAACTGGAAAGGAATAATCCCTGGTTGTCTGATCCTGCTGATAAGCCCCTGTATGTGCTTCACAGTGTTTTAAAACCGCTGTCCCGCCACCCTATAGCAGATATACTGCTACGGGACGGTAGGGGTACGCAAAATCACGTATATTTTTGCGGTTAGGTGGCGCGCACGCCCTACCCGCACCGCCATTTACAGCCGTGGCTGTCAATCACCGTGTCCTAGCCGGTGATTACCGACTGTTTTGTTTATTAAGAGTTCTCCCTGTCAGCTTGAGCACACGTGATTTTGTATCCCCAGGTAGGGGGCGCGCGTACCCTACCTGCGCCGCCATTCGTGGGTGCGGGTGTCAATCACCAGGTCCCAGCCGGTGATTACTCACCGGCGCCTAGTGATTGCCGTGCATCTCCGATGAGGAGGGGAACTGTTAGTAAACAAAACAGTTCTTCTCCCTGTCAGCTCGTGCACACTGCTTTGGATGGCTGTGCACAGCACAGCCATGCAAAGCAGTGTGCTTACAGTGAAGCACAGGGACACAGCTTATAGTAAAACAACACACAGTTAACCCTTTGATCACCCCTCATGTTAACCCCTTCCTGCCCAGTGCCATAAGTATAGTGTTAGTGCTGATCACTGTTATGGTTTCACTGGGGATGTCAATGACACCAAGTTAGTTCCACCCAGTGTCAGAATGTCCGCCGCAGTCCCACAGTCCCGCTATAAGTCGCTGATCGCCGCCATTACTAGTAGAAAAAAAAATTGCCAATATTTATACCGCCATTTGTAAACCCTATAACTTTCACGTAAACCAATTAATTTACACGTATTAGGATTTTTTTTTTTTTTAGCAAAGACATGTAGCAGAATACATTTTGACCTAAATTTATGATGAAATTTGATTTTTTTTTAACATTTTTTTTTACTGGACATGTTTAATATCAAAAATATAGTTTTCTTTTTCTCAAAATTGTCGGTCTTTTTTTTTTTTTTTTTTTTTTTTACATTTTTTCATTCCCTGCATTAAGGTAAAAAAATGTTTCAGTATGTAGATCGCTCCCTCACCTACACCCCCCCATTATACTTACCTGAGCCCGATCTCACTCCAGTGTTGCGCCCAGGAGCAGTGGCTCTTTCCTCTTCTCCCTGCTCTCACAGGCTTGGCTGAGAGCAGCAGGAGCCATTGGCTGTAATGAGGGAGAAGGGGGCAGGGCTGGGCAACACTGTCTGTGTCTATAGACGCAGGCAGTGTGGCTCAGGTTCGAGCTCGCAGATGTGGCACAACTGAGAAGAGGAGAAGCCAGGAGCACTGGCTGGGGACCCCAAAAGAAGAGATTCTGTGCAATACCATTGCACAGAGCAGGTAAGTATAAATTGTTTGTTATTTTAAAAGAGAAACAAATCTCATTTTACAAACTCTTTAATCTGCAATTCCTTATACTTATTACAGTAGTAATATAAAAGCTACATCAAAGATTTTAGGTTAAACACTACAATCATAGTGCCCTTTCACATGGGAATTCTGTTCAGGTCCACCTGTCAGTTTTTCAGGCAGATCTGATTGGAAGCTCCATGCAGCCCTGTGGATAGGCTGATGTAAATGGACTTGTGGCCATTTACATCCATCTACCTCTAATTCCTTCCAGCTTTCACTGGTCAACTCTTGGTTGCCAGGCACAAACTGAATTGGCACAGGTTTCAAAAAACTGAAATCCATCCAGTTTTGCTCCAATTCATAAGGGAATCTGCCCGCTGATCCAAGCAGACTCCTCTCTGTGTGCAAGGAGCCGAACTAACAGTAGTTAGTTAAGGATTAGGCAGAATAATAAAACTATTCCCATGGTTTCCCATACTAAAGATCTAGCTGATTACAAAATTCATGAGGTTAGTGAATGATATTCACAATATGTTTGACAGTGAAGAAACTGATGACCAGAAAAATTGTATACCCAGTAAATTAGCCAAATGTGTCCCTTACTCTAAATGAGGATGATGACCAATAATATGATGATCACTCAGTTCTTAGTTTTTGACAATAGGTGTGTAGGCTAGGGCAATGTTTCCAGAAACAATGTGTACTCCAGTTGTACCCTCAACACCCATGCAAGCCTGCAGCCCCTTTTACACTGTTTTTTAGCTGCATTTATTAGGGTGCATTTGAAGAATAAGGAAGAACTGTAACCCCTATCTGGGTTTTGCCACTATCCACAGAAAGCTTTCCTTTTAGTGCCTGTCCTGGGCACAATGTTTTACCAACAGTTAGGAAGTATCTTACAACAACAAAGACAAACATTTTTTAGTATAGTAGGGAAGGATCTAATCACTTCCATGTTTTGTTGTCAGTGTTCCTGTTGCAAATTTTCTCTTTTTTCCTACCTGGTAAAACCACTGTTTGCATAACAGGAAGGGAGGGGAAAGCTCTCTAGTAGAGCCCTGGATAGCAGTAGAAATCAGACAGGGGTTCTGTTCCTTCCCTACTTTAAAACAAACAAAAAAAAACCTGTTGTAGCATGGCTTTTCACTGATGCTGAAATAGTAAGTCCACCCTTCTAACAGATATAAGGTGCTTGACATCCAAAGGACAAGTAGCAAGTTCAGCACAGAGGTTATCCATCTGGAAATCTGCTCCATTATCCATCTGGACACCAATGCTCTTAAAGCAAAACTCCAGTCAAAAACAAATTGCAGTTTATGTCAAACCCAAATTTGTGTTTTTTTGTTTTGTTTTTTTTTTTTTTTTTATTGAGCTTCCAATTGAAAGCTGAGAAATATGATTACTTACCCTGGTGTAAAATCAGCTTTTTTTTTTTTGTAATTTAAAAAAAAAAAAAAAATCATAATGTGTCCTTATAATTCAATAAAACCTCTGCTTACAGAGAGATGAGGAGGAGCGTAGACTAGAGGAACAAAAGAAGGCATCCTTTGAGAGGGACCGGCTGGAGAGGGAGCGTAAAGAGAGAGAACAGAAAGAGGCTGAGGAGAGGGAGAGACGATTCAAAGAGAGGTCTGGGGAAATAGATGCTCAGAGGTAAGTGGAACCAGAGATGATATGTTTTTCCTGTGACAAGTTGGCATTTTAGCTAATGAATCTGTGTTAACTTTCTTTTCCTACAGGAGGGCACAGCAGGAAACAGATAAACAAGAGCGGGTGAGTAGAAAGGAATAATATCTAGGCACACATCTTCACATAATCCTTTGCTACATAAATGCAGGACATTCAGGTTTCTATATTTTTGTAATCACTTATACCAGGGGTCTTTTTAAACAAAGGGCCAGTGGTAGTGGAAAATGACCTGGTGTCAGTGGGGGAAACAGTTTTCAAACTTTATTAGGTAAAGTATTATTAGGGGGTGGAATAGTACCCGATCATTGGTGTCAGTGGGAGGAATACTACCCATCATTAATGTCGATGGGAGGAATAGTGCCCCATTGTTGGTGTCAGTGGGGAGGAATAGTGCTCCATCGTGGGTGTCAGTAGGAGGAATAGAGTGGTAGGAACTATGGTCCACTGTTGCTGACCGTGAGGGAAATATTGCCCCAAAGGCTGGATAAAAGCAAGCAAAGGGCCACATCCGGCCCCTGGGCCGTGGTTTGGAGACCACTTACTTATACTGTAGAGGAAAGTTGGCCTTAGAATATTGAGTAGATCCCTTTACTAAGTAACATGTGGCCAGAGGTGAACTTGTCCCTATGTGGATACTGCAGAGGCTGCTGGAAGACCAGTGGCGACAATGTGCTTGGAACAAAGACACGCTAAAGGGAAAGTGAGATCAGGAAAGACTTTTGTTTTGTTTTTTTTTTAACAAATTTTAGCTTTCAGCATTTTAATCTCTTGTCCAGGATGCTGCTGCCCAGCGAACCGTAAATGCCCGAGAGATGTTTATGCAGAAAGAACGTGCACTCCCTAATGCCATCCCAGTGAGCGCACAGCCTGGTGAGTCTCAATGGTTGTATGTTGTGGCATCTTTCCAACCTCATTCTGTGTGTTTGCTGTGACATCACACAGTGTGTCTTTTTTGTTTCATTCCGTCTGTCTCCAGGAAAGCTACGCAGTCCCTTCCTCCAGAAGTCGACCAGTCAGCCTGAGCCTGAATCTCCTCCATCATCCCCTGTAAAACGGGCTCAGGAACCCCCTGCATCCCCTGTGTATCGTGCTCAGGAACCCCCTGCATCCCCTGTGTATCGTGGTCATCAGACACCCCCAGAGTCTCCTTCTTCCCCTGTGTCTCATCCTCCTTCAGCACCCACTGTCAATGTAAAAGGTACAGAGAACTTCATTAGTGGCACTAGACATAAGACAGTCATTAGGCTCTGGTGATCGTTATTCTGGTATCATTTTATTTTTTATAGAACAAGTCTCTGCTCATCAACAGCAGGAGGAGGATTTATACCAGGAGCCACAGGAAGATAATGTTTATGAATCGCCTCCCCAGGTAAGTGGGCGGTAGGGCTTGTTCTGTGCAATGGGAGTTAACTCATCCTTGGCGTTGGTGTTGGGGCAGTTCCTTGTATCAGTATGTTGTGCAGAATTCTACACAGAACTCCGTAGACTAAGTTGAGGTTTGTATCCATACTGAAAAGGCAATGACACTGATATGAATATAGCAAGTTTAATAGGTAAATAGGAAGTAAAGAAATAAATACACAGCAAACATTGGTGGTGATGCACAAATAAGCTCAGCAAGAAAAGGGAAATGAATCAGATGAACATAAAGATAGCAGAAGGCAGCATTATATGTACCTTTATGTTCAACACTATAAATTGGGCGACTAAGCTAGCTACATAAATGAATTCACTGACTGAAAGCAATATAGGGGCTTTTCATTGCTGACCTCCTCTTTTCTAGTTACCTCCCTGATCTTCTTTAATACTTTGAGTCACTAACAAGTATGCAAATAAGGGATATCTGACTCCAACTTTTCTAACCTTAATACTTGTTGTGGGTCAGTGACATTTATTTAAACCAGTGGGCTAAAATTGCAGCTAGTCAGCCAGCATTTCCAGGAGGTCCGCAATGGCTGTATGTATATAATATTGGATGCTAGGCTAGATGCATAGTGCAAAAGGGCAGGATGTCAACAGAATGTCATGGAGGCTATGAGGATTGATGCCATGAGAGGTAGAGCTTAATCTGTACTTGGGCAGATGTCAAGGACCCATGTGCAGCTTGGGCCTGGTACCCAAGGAGGCGCCACTGGGATCGATATGAAGACTTGCACTTTCAGCCACCACTGTGTTGCTGCACTTAGAATTGTTGTTACTGTAGTAATATTTTGGTCACTTTACTTTTACTCACAATACATTATGCAGAGTCTATCAGTTGGCTTATTAAGTCTTACACAACCCTAGTAAGATGGTTACTGTCATCCTCCCACATAGTGCAGGCAAAACATGCTGCCAAGTCCTAATTATCTTTAAATTCACATAGATAAGCAAGCAGTGGGTTACATATGACTCTGCTTGAAATAAAGTGTCAAAATTATGGTTACAAGATCTTTCCACTGGGGTTCTGAGACCTTAATAAAAATGCAAGATAATCTATTAGCGCGAAATGCACCAAAAACTGATTGGTTTTGGGTGAACTTAAGCCTCTAAACAACACACGCAGTTTTACTTACTATAACTGGATAGTGCAAAATCTGATGCAGCTCTTCAAAGATACCAATCAGCTTCCATTTTTTTTTTTTGCAAAGCTTAATTGAATAAGCTGAAGTTAGAAGCTGTTTGGCTTCCATGCACAGCTGCACCACTCTCCAGTTTTAGTAAATCAACCCCACAATCTAAGCTAATGTGGTCGACATAATTTTTGTATGAATTTCAGTTGAGTGTTTTTCTTTTGTTACATCAGGATCAACAGGAGGAGGCGGTGTATGAAACAGGAGTAGATGAAGACCAGGGATTGTGTGCACGAGCGCTCTATGACTATCAAGCTGGTGAGTGTATAGGACAATAAAGATTTGTGGGTATTGTATAAGCAGTGCTGGCCATAGCCCAGTAGTCAGTGCTCCTGATTTTTCAGTGGGAACAGTTCATGATGGTGTCTTCAAAGATATCTTGGCATTTTCAGTGCATTTCTATAGACCAGGCCCATTCAAAAGAATGAAAACACGTGTCTACCCACCATACATCTGCCATGCTTTTAAAATGAATGCTACGTAATAGCACCACTTTCCCATATGGCAGGTTCTGAACAAATGGCTCAGAATTTTAGGTGGTTCATCTCACAAACGTAGAAGCACAAGTTGCCTTTTTCTTCCTCATTAGAAAGACCGTAATTGTCTGTCAAGAATTCACATGAGATTGCTTTTCTAGTTGGATGACATCTGATCCAAATCTGTGAAAACATGTAAAGTGTAACAGCTAAATTGAAAAAAAATTGAAGCAAAACTGTCAGATAACAACCGAGCTTTCAATGCTACAGGCAAGAAGAATACAGGCTTTGTTATTTGACAGTTTTGTGAGCTCTGCGTTGCAGCTACCCAGGGAGAATATTTTATGTCAGCACTTGGCTCGTGCAGAAGGTAAGATGGTTTTTGTACGGTTACTGGCAGAACAGTAGCTCTCAGAGGGAGAAATTATAAATAAATGAATGAACAATAACCTATCCGTTTTCAAATAAGGTTGCACTAATATAACCATTTAAGAGAGATACATAGAGGCTGCTGATCTCTTTTGTAATATTTCCATTTGCTGCTTGTTTTACTGACTCTCCTGCTTTTATACTTTAAAGAGACCCAGTCACCTACTCAAAGAAGAACCACACTGTATCTGAGCACAACAAGCCAAAAACTCTTATTTAATTCATTTCTGGCTGTAGCCATCTTGAGTAAGGGCAGATGATTCATGTAGCATGTAACCTCTCCTCCCCTCATGAAGACTCTTGGGATATATGACATCATTTGCCTAGGCAAACCAGGAAATAACTAAAGAAATGTAAATAAAAAATAAGTTTAACCCCTTGATGCTGATGTAACACAAATATGCAGCCTCACAGAACTGGGCTTTTTTCAGTGGGGCCGCATATATTTGCTTACCTGTCTTTTTGCTGGGAGCTCGCCACACTGCGCGCTCCCAGCACAAAGACCGCGGTGTCACGGAGAGCCCCGGGTCCCGTTCTAAAGATCGGGACCCAGGACTCCCAATTCCGGGTCACATGATCGCTGTGATAATCTCTGATTTGCTATCACAGTGATCAGTCACTGTGCAGCCCGGCCCCCTTGTTTTTTTCTCTCTCTATGAATGGAGAAGAGAGATGCATTGTATCTCTCTAACTCCTGGCATAGAGAGAAAAAAAATGTTTGTAAAAAAAAAAATAAATAAATATAAAAAAAATAAAGAAGAAATACCTAGATCAAGGTTTGATCTAGTTCAGTGCCAGGGTTATTGTTTGGGTCAGGGTCAAGGCCAAAAGGTCAGGGTCAAAGGTCAGGATTTAAAAAAAAAAGCATTTGGTGTCAGTGTGTTTTAGGTCAAAAAAAAAAAAAAAAAACCCCCACAAAAACAAAATGCGCACTATTGTTTCTGGGCTGTACTGTGGGTACAAACAACATACACATACATGGTATCTATGCGATTGTCAAGAGCTGGAGAATTTATTTTGTGTTGTTCTTTGGTGGTAGGTTATGGTAGTAAAAAGAAACACACACCTAAATAAAAAAAAAATTATTTTTTTTTACCATTTTGGGGCAGTTTTCCTTTGATAATAAAAAAAATCAGGTGATATCCATTACCATTTACCACCAAATGAAAGCACAATTTGTCCTGAAAAAAACGCGGTATAATTCACCTTTTGCAATGTTGACATGTGTTTTACTAACACATGTCAACATTGCAAAATTGTGCTTAGGCTTTTAGATTTGTTTTACCCTTAGGCATGAAGGGGTTAAAACAAGTAAAATTGATATACTTTCCTATATTTTTACTAATGGTAGCCGCATAAGGATTGCAAATAGTCAATGTTGATTGAGATCGTGAACATCCACTTTAAAGTGTCTCCAGGCAACAATGAAAATCAATCAATCTCTATCTCCCTCTCTCTATACAGTGGTGAAAATAATCATTTGATCCCCCTGCTGAGTTTGTAAGTTTGCTCACTTACAAAGAAATGAAGGGTCTATAATTTTTATCATCGGTCTATTTTAAATGATAGAGACAGAATATCAACCAAAAATCTAGATTTTATTCATGATACAAATGTTATAAATTGAGTTGCAGTTTAGTGAGTAAAATACGTAATCGATCCCCTACCAAACAACAATAATTCTGGTTCCCACAGACTGGCTGATGTGCTCATGTGGTACACAGATTAGTCCTGACAATTTTTTTTCCTGGATTTTTGGTTGATAGTATTTTTTTATCATTTAAAATACAAAGAAATGAAGGGTCTATAATTTTTATCTGAGGTGTAAGTGGGATATCTTACAAAATCTACAGGTGGTCAAATAATTAATTTCCCCACTGTATTTACACGCAGAAGCTTCCCTACCTCATTATGTACGCACATGTGCTGGAATTCTGCAGGAAGTGTCACCAATATTCAGTCTGGTCTCACAATTAAAGCTCCTCCCTGCCTCACTTTGGCCTTTAGGAGAGATTCCTATATAGTCCATTGAAGTATGTTAACAGCCCTGCACAGTATGTGATGCCACCGAGGGACCAGGAACTTTGGGCAGAGGAGAAGAGTGCTGGACCTTTACAGAAAGAGTGAAAAGGTGAACTAACACCATTCAGTCCTCATTGTACTTGCCTATCCACATGTCTGAGCTGTCAATGCCCATGTAGCAGTCCAGAGATTTGAAATCCCCACTCATCTCTGTGCAGCACTTCCAGGACCAATCAGAGAGATTTTGATTGGTTGGCTCCGACACAGAATATCACTGTGATTCATCTCAGAAGCGCAGAGAATAAGAGGGAGAGTGGGGTTTTGAAATTCCTGGACTGCTACACGGGCTGCGTGGTCACTCATGGAGGCAAGTACAGTAGGGAATGGGGGTTGAAGGTTGTACAGTGTTCACCTTTTTCTGAAAAGGGGAACTAACCCATTAACCCTTAAAATGTGGGGGGTGGGGGGGGGGGCTGGTGGGACCACTGCAACGGTAGATTTGGTCTAATTCAGCAATTCAAGGAATTGTTGAGCTGCTGATAGTGGAGAACCCTAGGAATATTATACTTGGACCAGACCAAGTGTCTGCATTATCATTGGCCAAGCTAAATAGCAGAACTTGGTCCTTATCCAGACAGGCCTCAAACTACTGTGCAGTTTTGTGAGAAGCATATCTTAGAACTCCATGTAAAATGGAAAAACATTACATACTTTAAAGCATAAACTATTCCGCTAGCACATGATCAGATTTTGTATAAGGTGGTTTCTGCTTGTTGAAAGCATAAAAAAAGCTTGCCTGCTAGTATTTCGGAGCCTTTTTTTTTCATATAAAGTTGGAGATTCCAGAGGCAAGTCACATTAATAACCATGGCACAGGCAGAGTTTGGAAATACAGCAGAGACATCCTGCCACTGAAGTCCCTGACAAATGCTAGACCGTTGGGGGTCTTATGCAAAAAGGTGTGCTGATAGGAACATTTCTTCTTGCTAGTAGCAACCAATTAGCTTCCAACTATCGGAGTCTGTTTGAAAAATATATAAGGATTCTGATTGGTTGCTTTGGGAGATGAGAAAAAACGTCTTGTTAGCACACTTTTCATACGTACGTCCCTGTATTTACATTCTAGGCCAGGGGTGGGCAAACTTTTTGACTTGAGGGCCGCAATGGGTTCATATATTGGACCCGGGGGTCGGACCAAGAGTAGATGAATGATGTGTATGTGTCATCCATAGTAAGTATAGTAATATTCCCCCATAGTAAGCATAGTAAATAATCCCCCATATAGTAATTCATCCCCCATATAGTAATTCATCCCCCATATAGTAATTCATCCCCCATATAGTAATTCATCCCCCATATAGTAATTCATCCCCCATATAGTAATTCATCCCCCATATAGTAATTCATCTCCCATAGTAATTCATCCCCCATAGTAATTCATCCCCCATATAGTAAGTCATCCCCCATAGTAATTCATCCCCCATATAGTAAGTCCCCCCCATCCCTCATATAGTATTTCATCCCCCATAGTACTATTCCCCCCAAGTAGTAAGCCAAGTCCCCCCTGTGTCAATTCACTTACCTTTGCTCCACGCGTTCCTCTCGCCGTGTTCCCGCGCCGTTCCGGTGTAGCATGAAAATCTGTCTCATATGAGGATCTGTCCCCCTCGACGTATCTGCGCATGTGCCAGTTTCAGGCATTAGCAGCCGATCGGCGATCTCCGGCACATGCGCAGATACGTCGAGGGGGACAGATCCTCATAGGAGACAGATTTTCATGCTACACCGGTCTTCAGGGCGGACTGTGAGAGGAGCCTAGCTCCGCGGGCCGGATTAAAAGGTCCGCCGGGCCGTAGTTTGCCCATTGCTGTTCTAGGCAGTTATTTCTTTCACAATAGATAACCTGTTTAACACAAAATAGTAGTGGCTAACCGTACGTTTTATCTGTCCTTCTTCCATCCAGCTGATGACACCGAGATCTCTTTCGATCCAGATGACCTGATCACACACATCGAGAGGATTGATGATGGATGGTGGCGTGGATATGGTCCTAGCGGGCACTATGGCATGTTTCCTGCCAATTATGTTGAACTGCTGGAGTGAGAGACAATTGGGAACCCTGTAGGTTGAAAGTGAGACCTTGCAATAAGAGGCTCCTACTGCACTGATACAGTTGTATTACCATGGGCTGTAACCACAAAAAACACCTAATGTGCTTAATGAAATGCTCTATGTTTAACTGTGACACAGATCGCTGATTCCACTATTCATCACAAAGAGCCTTGTTTTTAGTCACTTTTTTCAGTTTCTGAATTTATATGGACCAACGATTATGACCAAAGTAGGCTGCCCATCATGATCACAACGGTTATGACACTTAATTTCCATGACCTAGTCTGTATGGACAGGCCTGCCTATAGTTAACTCTTGTGTTTTTATTTCTTCAGTCACTATTAATGTGTAATTCCACCTCTTTGGCAAATCTATTTTAAAGTGTGGCTGCACAATAATTAACCTAGTAAATGGCATTCATTACCTTAAGATATTAGAGTTTTCATTGTTCTCAATGGCAAGTGATCAAGCTTGCCAAGTAGGCATTATAGTCCCTATGCAAAGATTCTTATAATTATAGAAAGACCCTACAACATCCAGCAAAATGTTTTTGAACCTCATTAGATAGCATGGGTATTTCGGGCATAATGGAACAAAATGCTGTAGGTAATGAGTGCTATTGAACAGATCTTCCAGCATCAGATTTGTCAGAAAGATGCAACTTCCCTTTAAGACAAGAAGGAAGTTCTTCCACAATCCATTTCCTTCCTCAATGCAGTCCTGGTTACTAGCATGCGTTGCTCTATAGCCTCTGTGTGAATTCTCTCCAATCCATTCAGTCCCTTTCCTGTTTTTTCATCTATATGCAGAACAAATGTAAAGTCTGATGATTGTTCGTTTGATTCTTCCCATTATTGATACATCATTCCATTTCACAATTCATTCTTTAAAACTATCACTTGCCTTGGCATTCCGTTCTGCTTACAGTATAATGACCAGACAACAGGTATACTTCTTTTTTTCTTTTACTGTACTATATTAACCTTTTGGGTGGATTTTAAGTGTTCCTATCAGCACTAGGCCACTTTGTATGGTAATGCATACTTGTAATAGAAGAGTAACTATACTTACCTTTCCAGCGCCACGTTAATTGTGATGCCTCTTCCTTATATAGGGAGTTTCTAAAAATGAGTCACTGGATTATGTTTACTATGCCAAGTGACCCTGTACTGACAGGGTCAGTTTAATATGTGCCCTTTTTCCATTTTTAGTGTTTAAAAGCAAAAGTCTTTCCTAAGATCAGAGCTCATGAGATACTTGATATTATTTTTATTAGTTAGAAAATCCACCCGTCTGTATCTCCCTCCAATTTAGATTCTTACTAGTGATTTGTTTTCTCTGATGTCATGGCTAGTTACACCAATGGTCATTGTCCTGTCCAGTAAGAGTGCCCTTATTGGCCACTGGGGTAATATCATCGGACAGTGAAGTGAGTTGGAGGGGCTTAGTCTTGAAGTCCGTCACCAGTGACAAAAAAAAAAACAAAATTAAAGGGGGACACAACAGAAACATTCTTGGCTAATAATGGCAATGGCTGGATATCTTGTAACTCCTGCTGTAAAATGAGACTATTCTTTTCTTTTTAAAAGTATAAATTGGATTATAGGTTCATTTTTAAGGGTTTGAGTTTTCAAACAGAGCCAAAGGATCTGAAGCTTAGTTCTGTCTGATTGTTTTGATATATTTGGTGGCCATGGTTTATCTATCAGTATTCAGCTATTGTAGATAAACATTTAACGAAAGAGCTGAAATACTTACATAATTTAGTCTCTTGGATATGCAAAAATGAATAAGAGTTTTTAAGGTTGACTGCTGTTGAACACTTTTCACTTCAAATGGACTGGAAAATATTTGATTTTTTATTTGAATTTATAATTTTTCATTCTGGTCACATTCCAGATAGAATAATTCCCAGACTGCACACGTACTTAAAGATTGAGGGCAACTATTTTATATATTGTCCATTTTTAACTTTATGATGGCTTACCTTTATAGACACTGTAAGCCCTGTTACAGTGCTGTAAAAAAGCTGCCCCTAATCAACAGTAGAGGGCACTGCGGAGATGGTAAATTTATCTGCATTGGGTTGAATGAGCAAATTGTTCACTGCAAAGCAGGGAAGCTGCAGTCCATGTTCTTTGAAACAAGATTATATTCATGAAATGAAAGTCCATCATATCAACTACAGGGACAAGTGCCAATACATAATTCATTCTGCAAATGCACTTATACTTCTTTGTTATTGATTAATGTCTACTGTCCACCAATTTTCACTGAAGGCCATCAGCTTAATTATGACCACCATGTATATCTTCCCTAGTGCTGTATATACAGAATGTAGCACTCCGCTTTCATGCAGATGTGTTCTTTTTCTTCAAGATGAGTTATATGAATTAATTTGTGTAAAGTTGGCTCCTTTGCTTAATCATTGCTGTCACATCGCAGGGTTCCATTATTTAAACCCAGTTACATCATAGGACGCTATAGCAGCAACAATGTCAAGCTAGACACAGGAGACTACAGATACCCAGCAGTAAAGATTTTTGATTTACAAGAAGGGGAGGTTTTACATAAACTCCACTAGGCGATCAATAAAGAGAAGGTTTTCAGATAACACTATATTTAAAAATAACCTTTTGTGTGTATTCTGCGAATCATGGTCTTTCTAAAGCCTTTTTTTAGTTTTGAATTGAGTAAAGAATAGTTAAAGCCCCAAACAACATATTTTTTTCTGTCTGTGTCCCAATGTGGTGTTTTCCCTTTACTTCAAAATTCAAATTTTGTGTGTATTCTGCAAATCATGGTCTGTCTAAAGCCTTTTTTTAATTTTGAATTGAGTAAAGAGTAGTTTAAGCCCCAAACATCATTTTTTTTTTTTTTTCTGTTGTCATCTGTGTCCCAGTGTGGCGTTTTCCCTTTACTTCAAAATTCAAAGTGGAGGATAATCAGTCCTTGGTTGTCACCATGACAAGTGTCCCCGTTGGCAGATATCCCCCTCTACTCCTGATCCCAGTGATGACTCAAAATGCCAGATCTTCCCTCGCTTTCATTCCCAATGATAATCATCACCTGTACAAATAGTGAGGGTGCCTTTCTCCAGTGGGGACACTGACGGCAAGAAAAACTTGACAGATGTTTTTAACAGTTTCCTATTCTATATAAAAAATTAAAAAAAATAGATATACTTTAAATCCAGTTAAGTCCACAACATACAAACTGGTATGCTTGTAGAAGCAGGCAAACAAATGTTTTTCATGGCAAAATCTTCAGCAAACTAGTCTAGCCATACACAGACTGAACAAGAGAAATGAATTGATTTCCCCATCTGCGCTATACAGTGTGGATAGCGCAATCTCCACTGCTGGCTGTTGAATTCAAGCAGCCATGACATTCTGCGGCAGCCTGAATTCAATGGAACAGCCAAACGGTGACTACATCTTATAGGATGAACTCATTGTTTGGCTGATAATTTTCCACTAGACTCAGTCGATTTGTCATCAAACCGAGTGGTGCTTGCGGGGTCACACACTATTCGAATTTCGGACAATTCCTGCTGAAATTTAAGCCAACAAAAGATAGCTTAAATGGTTTCTTTATATGAATCAACCAAGTGTTATTTTATGCTCAAAACAACATAAAGTAGATATTGGCTGAAAGTAGTCCTTGGGTATTTACAATGAAAAAAAAAAGTTACACCAATCCATAGCAACCGATCAGCGGTTTGCTTTTTTTAATCTAACATGTTAAATGACAGCGAGCATTGATGTTATGGGTTGTGGTGCATATGTCGGCCTGAACGTACGGTTTTATACTTCTCTACATTTGATTGTATTTAACAAAGCATGTAGAGCTGGTTTCCCATTGCAACCAACCAGAGTCTATCGGCTTCTCATACTGTGCACAGACTTATCCGTAGCTGTGGACATCAGGTACAGTTTACCTTTGATGAAGATGTTCAAAGTATTCTTTTGTTTCTGATCAACCGTCTGTACTATAGAATTCTCCAGCACTTTTTCAGGAAATCATGAACCGTGTTTAACTGCATAACATTAAACCACATGCGTAACAGATATATTGAGCTTTTATACTGTAGAGATCAGTTTATCCCACTTGAAGTCTATAACTCATGTGATATCAGCAAAATAGGTTATAAATATCCCACCTCTGGAACGTCAAATATATTGTACTCTGGGGGTGAGCTCAGTTGCAAGGCTTGCTTTGGAAGCTTAAAGGGGAATCCAGCCTTCAAAAATATTCTATATATTAGGTGAATTTTGTATCCTAATGGATTGGTGGATTATTTGGGTCATCTTATTTAAAGGAATATGCTTGAAGGAGTTCCCCTTTAAGTGGTCCTCTGGTGGGGTCGGTTGCTTTTTTGTCTTTCATGTTCTGTGTCCTAATCCCACTGTCTGTGAAAACATTTATGTAAGGGATTGAATACAATTGCATTCTCTGTGAAATCACATGATAATCATGTTGGAAGGTTTTATTATTTTGGCTCTTTTTTTTTTTTTTTTAAATCATTAGAATATAAAATAAAGTCTTTGATAATGTGCGCTGGCTTTTTGTGTTCTATATTTTTTATTCAAATGTAGATTGAGCGGACTCAAGATCAGAAGAGAAGAATCAGCACAAGGGACAGAACTTAGTTAGTATGATGTGTTCCTTGACCTGGTTTTTCTTTCAGTTGAAATCTTGGTGTGTTCTACCCCCCCCCACCGCAGTCAGTGAGGCAGGGGTTAATACAACTAGTGGGCTGTCAGATGCTCTCATCAGGAGAATTTGACTATGCCAGACCTTTTCTTCCTGATCTGCTGTTCATCTAAGCTGTACTACAGCTTCTGTGAATGACGCAGGATCTCTGAATGGAGGAAGCGGAGCTATCAATCATCTGCCCGTCCCCCATTCAGAGATCCTGTGTCATTCATACAAGCTGTGTGTGGTATATTTTCTATGAATGGAAGATCAGGCCGGAAAGGGCTGGCATA